CTTTTGGTTTAAGAGAAAAACATAAATGGCATTGCTGATTGAATTCCCATCAGAGTAGCAAAGACATTCCCCAGACATACATTGTTCACCTGCTGAATCGGAGATGATTCACTTTTCAGTGTCTTCACAGGTGTTAGCTTGGCCAAACAAAACAGGTAAATCACTTTCCATTCATTTTTTTTTCTGAGGCAAGTTTCCAATAAAATTGTTTTTATTATGAAATATACATATATAAGTCCATGTCATGCCTGTTTGAAAAATGAATTTGCATCAACTTATGATATGTGAAGACTATGCCATTTATATTTTGTCTAAAGAGACAAAATTGGTTCCTCCTAACTAAATCAGGAGGTGGGGAGTTCTAAATGAGGATTTCATGCAGAACTGAACTACACGAAAGGAGATCTGATTGTACCGCAGGGTTCACATAAAAGGGGTCCAGGAAAGAATTCGGAAAGAAACCTACCTACCGTGATCTAGACAACACAGATGTGTGGCTGTGAAACCCAGAATGTTGCTGATGAGGAGGTCATCGGATGCTTATTGCTCATGCCCAGGAGCTTGTGGGTGGCTACGGGAAAGAATGGCCTTCGTTGCTGGTCTTGTAGGAGCCCACCCAGTGGTAGTGTCACTGCCCAAGCTTCTGACTGCACTGAGTGGCCAGTCCCAGGTCAGCGGTGCTCTCTTCTCTGACTCAGTGTCAGCACTGGCCTCTCAGATGTATGATTCTTCTTAACAAATGCTTCATGGAGCTGCTGGTTAGCATTGTTCTCATTTTGCTAATCAATATTCACCACATATTCCCCCTTCTTGTGGGAACAGATAAAGAAACTAGGTAAGATTATACTCTGCGATCCCAGGATTTGAAGATGTGGTGACTGAGGATGTTAGGGCGAGATCTTAAATTTTTATATAGGAGACATTAGGCAAACAATAGGAAAATGTTCTTTATACACGTAATGCTCTTGTTAAATGATGAATGTGGTATTTAAAAAAATATAAGTTTGAAAGTAATGTACAGGAGGTATTAGGATGGGAAAACCGGTGTTACAGAGAGCTAAAGATTACACTAAAAATCTAAAAATAAATATTTTTGCATCACCTTAGAGTTTTCAAAGAGTTTTGCACACGCAAAAATTTGATCTTTGCATCACTTGGAGGGTGGATCTGAAAGATGATATTATCTTCATTTCAGTCATGAGGAAACAGGAACCTAGGAGTAGTTGAATGACTTGCCAGAGTCACACAAAGCCAGGATTTCCATTTGTCACACCTGCCTCCGGTTGATCCTAACATGATTGTATCTTAGATAAATGTGGTAGCAGGAATGGAGAGGGAGGGACAATTTGGAGAGATTTTGAAATAACAAGTGAAAAAATTGGCCATTAACAGTGTATCTATCTATAAAAATCTGTCTATATAAAAGACTAATATGCTAAGTGTCTGACCATCCAGGTACTGACATCAAGTAGCAACACCTGGCTTCCTCTCCCTAGCAAGGACTAGCCTCACGTGGAAACACTTTACACTGTAACCAAATGTCTATGAAGCGTTTTCCCGTGCCTCATCTCATTTGATCCTCACAGAAGTCCTGGAGTAAGTAGATAGGAGATTCAGTGGAATCCTATTTTATTTTCATTAGCCAGAAAAATGGAGATTTAGAAAGCTTAGAAACTTGACTGGACTGAAAAGAAGAAATGGTGGACCTTGAAAATGACTTTAGGTTTTCTCACTGTGCAGAATACAGTCAAACATCGCTGCAGTTGAATATTTTACCCTTTGTTCTCCCTGCATGATCTACAATAATAATCTGCTTCTGTGTTGATATTTACTGCTGTGTTGCTGAAAATTACCTTAAAGAGAAATTGCGATGTTTCACTGGGCTGGAAAAAGTTTAGCTACATCAGCAAGCAGGTCTAATTAAGCAAATTTGTTCTATATCTATAAAAGGCTAAGGTTACTCGCACATGCGCGATACATATAAAGCTCTCACTGGCATGAATCAAATGTGTGTATTTCGATCTGTCATTGTCGATCGTGAATTTGGTTGTTTTTGTTGATATTCTGAAGCTGAAAGAAGGCAGTGGTACAGGGAAGTACCAATGGTGATTAAATATGTTCATAATAGTGATCTGGGTGGATATAATTTTCCCCATATAACCAAAGTTGCCATCATATTCAGAAACAAAGATAGAGAACCTTCTTTTAAAGGGACTTTTGCTCATGTATTGTAAACAAGATCCCAACAATCCAAATGCCAATAAAATGAAACAAAACAGTATCCTGTTTCCTACATTACACTCACTGACGTATCATATTCTTTTCCCACATGGTGAAAAAGGCTGGGAAAAGGATATAGCATTAAGACTTAGAGTTGACAGTGTAATCGACAATAATACTAGAGTCAATGGATGATGCCAAAAAGGAAAATTTTCCCATCGAATTTCTTAAAAGTATTACTCCTTCTGGAATGATGTGTCATAAATTAGAATTGAAAGTAGGTGCAATCATCATGCTATTGAGAAATCTTAATAGTAAATGAAGTCTTTGTAATGGCACTAGATTTTTATCAAAAGATTGTGACCTGACATAATTGAAGTGGAAGTATTAATAGGATCTGCAGAGGAGAGATTGTTCTGATTCCAAGAATTGATTTGTCCCTGTCTGACATTGGCCTCAGTGTTAGAATAAGTTTAATCATTTTGTCAGTCATTGTTTCTATATCATGTTTTTGTTGTTTTTATATCATATCTTTGTTGTTATATCATGTTGTTATTGTTTATTGATTAATCAATTATTATATTATTTTCAAATACATTTTACTAATTTTCTTTCATTTCTGACACTTCTATTATAGAGAAAGGGCGAATAGCAATATTAAAACATTTCTTCTAATTAATTTCCTTTCAATGTGCACGAATCCATGCACCAGGCCACTAGTAGATGGTAAACAAACAGGAGAAGGAGATGTAATTCTGAGGTTCCTGAAGCCTGGAAGGTGTTGAGATTAATAATATCGCCAGCTAATGTTGGCAGCATGCTTACTACGAGCCAGGTCCTATGCCACACGTTTGGCTATATTGCCTCATTGTCTCCTCACAGCTCTGAGGGGAAGGGGTATTATTATCCCTGTTTCATAAGGGGAATACATGAAAGTTGTTTTTGTTTTCAAAAGGTGGTGGTGGGGGGTAGGGGGAATCAAGGGTTTTATTCCAAGACAAGGGAAAGTTCAACTGGACTCTGGCTTATGGTGACCATACTTGGAGCCTGCGTCCTGGGGCAGTGCTTTGGTGTTCCTACATGTGTGAACGTAATCATGTTACCAACCACAAAGTAATGGAACTGAGCCACAGGTGGTTATAATGTTTGCAAATCCAGCACTAGCAAACTGTCTGTTTAATGCACATGTGTCAAACACAAGGCCCGCGGGCCAAATCCGTCCCGCCAGGCCTTGCAATGTGGCCCGCACCGCGCTGTCATCACTGCACTCCGCTGCGTTTCCATCACAATGACAGTTTATGACTGTTCAGTAAACCATTCGGCCCGCGATTTAGGCTGGATTTTAGATTTTGGCCCCTTCTCTGATTGAGTTCGACACCCCTAGTTTAATGCCTTCTCTATATTTTTGCTGCCGTTAAAATAGGCTGCACTAAACAGAGAGCTCTGCCTTGGCTTTGGACTTTAGGGTTGTCAACCAGGTAATACAGGCATATAGACAGTAATGCTTTCCTCCTCAAATATTATCAAAAATAAAAAGTATAACTAAGTATAATTATCATATGATTCAATATAAATATTGCATTTAAGTAAAATACACTACTTACATTAAAAATCTTAAATACAACTATACATTCCTCCTAAATTGTTACTAGTTACTTTCACTTCTTGTTATCGATAACAAAAACAAACAAACAAAAACAGCTTTAAGCCTGGTTTTTTCCTTAAGCTTAACCAAGTCACACATTTCTACGTTGTCCTGAGCCTCTATTGACTCTGGGGTTTGTCTGAAACCGCCCTCTTATCTTTGAATTGCTCTGTGACCGTACTTAAAACCCCTCAAGAAAAGACCCCTGCCATATTCCCTGCTTTCAATTCCTGCTTCCTCGTTTCCTCTTGGTCAGGTAGAGACAGGGAAACAGTTTATTTATCAAATAAAGTAATAGCGTATGGAAAAAAAAATCCCAAGTCTTTTTTCCAAATAGCAGTTTATAGCTCATTTCTTTTCTTTAAAAAAAAATATATATATATATTATTGATTTTTTACAGAGAGGAAGGGAGAGGGACAGAGAGCTAGAAACATCAATGAGAGAGAATCATCGACCAGCTGCCTCCTGAACACCCCCCACTGGGGATGTGCCCTCAACCAAGGTACATGCCCTTGATCAGAATCAAACCTGGGATCTTTTAGTCTGCAGACCAACGCTAAAGGTTTTCTACTGTATCTCTTTAGGTATCTACCTGCTAGATTATTCACTAGGCTGCCTGCAGCAGTCTCTTAGTAACCATAAACTTCATGGAAAATGCCTAACTCTTTTAGAATTTGGCCTTCTCTTGAAAGACTTGGAGTTACACTTAAGTGTCAGAATTTAGATCTCTTTTATTTTATTTTACTTTTTAAAATATTTTATTGATTTTTTACAGAGAGGAAGAGAGAGGGATAGAGAGAAACATCAATGAGAAGGAATCATCGATCAGCTGCCTCTTGCACACCCTCTACTGGGGATGTGCCCGCAACCAAGGTACATGCCCTGGACCAGAATCAAACCCGGGACCTTTCAGTTCACAGGCCAGTGCTCTATCCACTGAGCCAAACCGGTTTCGGCTAGATCTCTTTTAAAATAAATAAATTATAGCGATATTTTAGAGGGCTACCAAGTGGTTTCTTGCCATTTTTCCCTTCCCTCTGAGGCTGCACAGGAGATGATGCTGGTGAGGAAGCTGTGTCTTCTCCCAGCGAAGGGGTCATGACTGTGGGTGTCTTTTATCCTGACTCCCTCCAGGATTGTGAAGATGTCCAGTCCGAATCTGAACATTGTGACCTTACTGGGCAGTTGTCTGACTTACAGCAGCGCTTACCTCTTCGGGCTGCAAGGTCGAGATGCTTCCGTGGGAAGCTCAATGGAAACTCTCATTCAGGTAGGTGAAGCCTTAGTTTTTGTTTTAAATATAATGCCAAAGTTTTCATAGGTTTTAATCAGCTTATTCCTGTTGGTGATAGTTATTTGTGCCTTTGATGTGGGCACTGTCGGAGGCAATCCCTGGAATGCTGAGTCAGTGAGGTCCACTTTCTGTCCCATGCCCTCTGTGGACTGAGGCTTTGCCAACCAGAATGTGTGGAGAATGACAGTGGTTTCTCTCATGCCTCTTGTCCCCATCCCTTTCCACCTATAGGTAAGACTGTCCATGCTGTGCATTGGGACCTCCCTTGTGTTTGGACCCATTCTGGGGAAGAGCTGGCGACTCTACAAGGTTTTTACCCAGAGGGTTCCGGACAAGAGAGTGGTGAGTAGCAACAAGCACACGGTGCTTGACTGCAGATGACAGCTTCTCTGTGGATTGAAAGCTAGAGAAACTTTGCCAGATTACAGGCCTGGCCCTTTTACAATAGTCTGAAGTTCCCACCCTCACTCCAAACCTTGGAGTCGTGTGGCCTCCTAAGTCTGTGTGTTACTGCTATTGGAGAGACAGGTCTTCGAACATGGGTTCTGCTTCATATGCACACAAGGCCCTGGTACTGTTCTGGGATGTGAGCTGGCCAAGGTGAGGCACCAGCGTGAGGTGACCAGAGAGAGCATTGCTTGGCACAGGTGTGAGCTGGAAGTGGAGGGAGGGAGAATGAGTACAGAAAAGCTCTAGCTGAGTGTAAGCATTCATGTCCCTCAGTGGGGGGAGCCCAGTTCTTTTCCATGTAGGAGGCCACTCTCTGCACTAAGAAGGATGGAGCTAGAACAGAGAGCAAAGGAGGAGACACGCATGCAGCAGATAGAAGCTATGTGGCAGCAGATCACCTGCATGTCTCTGTTATCTGATGTCATCCAGCCACATCCCCCATTTTATCAGGTTCCCTGATAAAGCTGCCAAAATCCTCAAAGCCTGATCATCAAACTCTTTGTCTATAGGCTATGCTTAGTCCCAATATATCTCTCAGTGTGAGTTTACTTTTCTGGAATGATGTTTTGATTTTGATTTTTAAATTATTGAATAATGGTGGATATTTATCAGCAGCTTAGCTGTGAGTACCCATACATATAAGAAACATTGCCTAAACATGGACAAGAAATATATCCATCCCTCTTGATTTAAAAAAAAAAAGCTTTATTGAGGCATAGTTGACATGCACATATGATTTCCTAAGTTTTGGCATGTGTATATTCATTAAACATTGGGTATAAGCCACAAAAACTTTCTCATACACCTTTATCTCCCTTTCATGTCCAATCCTTATATCCCCTGTCCCTGTCCCTAAGCAACTATTGATCTGCTTCCTGTCATTATAGATGACTTTGCATGTCCCAGAATTTTACATAAATGGAATCATACAGTATGTACTTTTTTTCTGTCTTCTTTCACTTGGCATAATTATTTTGAAATTCATCCATGCTGTGGTGTGCTTCAGTGGTTCTTTCCTTGTTATTGTTGAGTAGTATTCCAATGTGTAGACACATTTCTGTTTGTTTCCCCATTCACTGATTGAAAGCTAGAGAAGCTTTGCCAGATTACAGGCCTGGCCCTTTGACAATAGTCTGAAGTTCCTACCCTCACGCCAAACCTTGGAGTCCTGTGGCCTCCTAAGTCCCCAAGCCTGGAGCTTTGAGTCTCCTTGTAGGGGTATTCTTTTGATATTGTTTTCCTTTTTTCTGAAGGATCTTTAACATTCTGATGCAAGTGCACTAGTGCTGAATTTTTTCAGCTTTTGTTTATCTGAAAAGGTTTTTATTCCATCTTTGTTTTGGAAAGATATTTTTTGTTGGATGTAGAATTCTAGTTCGAGGTTTTACTTTTTACTCTTAGTTTTTTCTCCTGTGTCTTCTCACTTGCCTTCTACCTGATGAGATATCTGGTCTTCCTTATCTTTGTTTCTCTATATATAATGTATCTTCATTCACTGGTTGCTTTAAAGATTTACTCTGTATCATTGGTTTTGAGCAGCTTGATTCAGCAACCCACTGCTTTTATCTTACAAACACCGGGAATCATGTGACTGGGTGTGCTTTCTTCTTTCCTTAGGTTGACAAAAACTCAGCCCCACATTTCTGCCCCAATTCATGAATGTTATGTACACTACTCACCTGAGTTTTTATCATAATTCTTTCTCATTTTCTCTTTTTTTAATGTGTTTCAATTTGTTTATCCTGCTGCAAGATATATATTTTCTTAATTTTATTTTTGTAGTCACAAAAGTAAGACGTTTTTGTGTATGAAGTCAAGTGATTCCTATAAGTATAAAGAAAGTGTTAGCAGCCCCTCAGCTCTCAATCCCATCCACCAGGTTAATGGTTTTAATAGTTTTATGTGAAAACTCCCACATCTCTCTATCTGCTCATATACACATATCTAGAAATAATGGAGTATTTACTTTATAGAACCCTTGAATCTTTTGTGGGAAAAGCCAGGATCTGGGGGAAATACAAACAAATGGAAAAGTTTAATGGTGATGATGATACAGATACAGAAATCATTGTAAATATTTAATATCTGTTCCACCTTTGATGGCTGGATTTGAAGCTTTTTGGGAGAACTAACCCTGGAGTCTATAGCTCAGAGCATGTAGGACACTCTAGCCCCTGTGTAGCCAGTGAGCTAAGGAAAATTATGAACTTGACTCTTTTTTCAGATCATCAAAGACCTGCAGCTCCTGGGGCTGGTGGCAGCCCTGGTGATCGCTGATGTGATCCTGCTCTTGACGTGGGTTTTGACTGATCCCATCCAATGCCTCCAGATTCTCGGTGTCAGTATGACGGTGAGGGGCCCAATTCTCGGAGAACTCACTTCCTGAACTGGGGGGACTGGCTTCTGTGGGCACATAGGGGTCCTTCTCTGTGTGGGCATCCTCCCAACAAGAAGATAAGCAACACAAAGAGGAGGGAGAGTGAGGAGCTGTGGCTGCTGTGAATGTTTTGCCCCTTGTCTGCAAGGTGTGCTCCCACTCCCACCACTCCTCCTGACCCAGGCGTCCTCCACCTGCATCCACTAAGATGTCAACACACTGGAATCTGCCTGCGGTTATCTCTGCTTCCACATTATCAATAACGAGCACTCTGAGCAACAGGAAGTTGCCTTCCCCTAATGATTGGGAAGTAAAAGTCGGAATTTGAGATTGTCTTTGTAGCCAGTCAACCCTGGTTCAAATCTTAGCTCTACTACTTTCTAGCCAGGTGGCCTTGGGAAAGTCATTTAACATCTCTGAGTCTCTATTCCCCCAAAGTAAAATGGAAATAATAATGCTTCCTGTTTCTTAGGGCCTTTGGTGATACGTAAGTAAAGGAGTGCAGGTAAAGGACTCGATTGTGCCTGGTACATAGTATTCAATTAATAGGAAATCCTATGGTCCCAGCCTCACAGGAGCTGAGGAATACAGTGGAATCTTGACATTGCAGATTTAATAGTTAAGGTTCCAGCTGTTAACAAATGGTAGGAATTTATAATCCTGTTGGCACACTGATGTGAATCATTATGGTAGCAAAGCACACAACAGAGGGTAAGCCCTGCTGCCACCGAACATCCAACTTTATCGTCTGTTCCTCCAATTAATAGTCACTCTCGTTTATCTAATGGAGTCAACTAAATCGTATAGCTTTTACACATTCTGGGGGGAAATAGATGCTGTACAGGAGTTCACACTCCAGACCTTCCCGGGGATCTGCTGTGTGTTCCCGGGCATCGTGGGTGCCCTCCGTACTGACTGTGGCCCTCCTAGGTGACAGGGAGAGAAGTGGCCTGCTCGCTGACCAGCACACACTTCTGCGCTTCCCGCTACTCTGATGTCTGGATTGTTCTTGTTTTGGGATGCAAGGTTGGTATCCACATCTTCTTGGGGCACAGTCTGTCTGTCACCAACAAAACGGACATACATGAAGAAGGGATTGATGAGGTGATTCCTGCAAAGAATCTTGAAATCGGGAAGACCTCTGCGGATACATAACTCTCAAAGCCATGACCCTTATTATTTCTTTGCATTTGGGAGGGGGCGGTGTCACTTTTCCCTTATTTTGTTCTCCGCACATCATGTGGAATTCACCTACTGTTTCTCCCATTTCTTGGCTTGGTTTTAATTTTATTTGTAAATATCAGTTTTCTTCCCAAATCCCTGCAAGGAAGACTGTGCCCAGGTATCCTGCTGCCATTCACCCACCTCACTCTGTCACTCTGGCTGGAAGCCGAGCTGGCTCTCAGACAGATGACAATGTCCTGAGTGTCCTTTGAGTGATTCCAGCTGCCTCAAGTGTCTCCATCCCTGAGGGAGGTCCCTAGAATCAACTGTCCTGTTATCTGGGTTTCAGCTTGTAGGGACAGAGAATCTGGCTGTGGGGGGGATAGGCAGGCCTGTTTTAACGAGCAGGGTGAACCCTGTGTGGCAGGACCCTGTCTGTCAGATTATCAGGGCAAAAAGGCCTGGTTGACTGATTCCTGGCAGAATAGGAGTTTTTCTTCAAAGGTAAACTTTCACATGGGTGCTTCAGAGAAATAGCCCTGGGGATGGGCAGGAATAGGACAGGGAAATGTTGCTTTTTAATTATGTGCATATATTACTACTCTGATTAAAATATTTTCAGAAGAAAATACTAGGAAGTGAACAGCTTGCTCTTTTCTGGTTTCTTGCTAATGGTTAAGAAAATGAACTTCAGAACATGACAGAGCAGGGTTTGAATTCTGACTCAGCCCCTTCCTAGCTGACCCTGCACCTCATTGAACCGCTCTGAACCTTAGTTCCCTTACACCGGATGGGGGTGATGATAACATCCACTCAGAACTGTTGTGAGTTTCAAAGGAGTTAATGCAAGGCAAGAGTTTTCAACCACTCCTGCCCCATAGTAAGAGCTCAGTAGATTTTAGTTATTATTATTAACCTTCTACTGCTCCCCTAGACAGTTCTGAAAATCACAGCATCACTGTTCTCCACCCCGCCCCCTAACCCCCACCCCGCACCTTCCTGAAGCCCTGGAGAAGAGCATGTCCTCCCGGCAGCAACTCAGCACGGCCCCCACAGCAACTCACTTTGCGACTCAACTTGATTTATTTTCTCCATTGCCTTGTACACAAATCCCATTTCTATTTCATTTCGCTGTAATATCTTTCTGAAGGACAAAGAACGAAAAGGGGGGAAAGAGTGCTGAGCATCAGGAAACTGACTGGGCCAGATGCCCATGGGCTCCCTGGTCCATGAGCAGTCCCTGGGGAAGACCCAAATCTCTGCATAAAGTTCCAGGAGCCCCCACCCTCACCTGTCTACTGCCCACTGCCCCACACTTCTCAGCAGTGAAGGCAACTGACCTACAAGTATATGTGATTCATTTAAGCACGAGTCATGGATGTAGACTGTATTAATACCTAGTTCCCAGTGCAAGGATTGTAATGCAATCGAATTTTGTTGTTGTTAATCCTCACCTGAGGATATTCTTTCCATTTAGAAAGAGTGGGAGAGAGGGGGGGTAGGGAGGGGGAGAAAGACACAGAGAGAGAGAAATATGGATGTGAGAGAAACACATTGATTGGTTGTCTCCTACATGACTCCTGCATGATTCCTGACCAGGGCTGGGTATCAAACAGCAACCCAGGTATGTGCCCTTGACCAAGAATCAAACACCACCCCCGCCACCTAAACCCCCTCTATGTGCACAGGGCCCACGCTCTAACCACTGATCACATCAGCCATGGCTGAAATTTTTAAATAGAATCAGATTTCAACATTTTAAAAACAAAGAGTTACTTTTATTTGCCTTCGATTAAATTACTCATAATCCAACTCTGACAAATGTCACCTGATGGCATCAGTTACCCAAAAGTCAGGCCCCTCTGGCCTCCTGACTAGTGTACCTTCTAACCATTGAAGGTCTCAGGGTGGCACACTGGACATGGGGGCACCCAGAAGGCATCTCTGCCATGCTGATCCTTTACTCTAGGCCAGTGGTCGGCAAACTGCGGCTTGCGAGCCACATGCGGCTCTTTGGCCCCTTGAGTGTGGCTCTTCCACAAAATACCACGTGCGAGCGCGCACTTACCGTGCGATTGAAACTTCGTGGCCCATGCACATAAGTCAGTTTTCGACCTGGGCGAGTCTATTTTGAAGAAGTGGCGTTAGAACACTCAAGGGGCCAAAGAGCCGCATGTGGCTCGCGAGCCTCGGTTTGCTGACCACTGCTCTAGGCTGTCAGGCCTCCCCAAAATCATCACCAGGGCTGTACCTGCAGGTGGAGCTAGTGAGGTGCGGGCATTTTGAGTCACTGGCAGGTGCCCTGCTGATGCCTGACCTTATATTCATTGTTAGTTCTTCCTCTGAGTCTCCTAGTTCCCACCTCACCTCATCCCTCTGGCATCGTCAGGTTCGGTTATAAAACACAGACATTTGTGTCTTGCCTTCAATCTCCCTAGCAGTTCAAGCTCCTTGAAAGGACCATGGCTTAGTCCTCTCTTTGTAGCTCTGGTTTCAGCCCTACACCTAGCATGACATTTCATACACAGGTGAACTTATGTTGCATCTATATGTTATGTATTGTTGATTAAAGTTTTGATTTCTGTTTGAATGCAGCTCCTTCCAAGAGAGACAGCACTTTAAGGTGCTGTGAGTAGTTTTCTTCTCAGCACAAATGAGAACTTCGAGAGCAGGTTTATATTCAGGGAAAGAGGGAAGAACAGGGCCCTGGGTTCCTGGCAGTGGGGGCCGGGAATGTCACAAAGGGGTGAAGGGTATAGACGGAGCCTTTGCTGCCTGTGCCCGCCCCACAGGCTCGGCGAGGTCCCAGCCTGCCTTTGTCCTCCTGTTCCCACTCTTCATCCCCCACAAACACCCCCTGGCACAGAGCCTCTGCCAGCCTGGAGAGGTCTTTTGTGCAAATTAGAAAGGGCTTCCTTCCAGGCAGATGCAATCCTGCAGGTGCAGGGCTTGGCAAGCAGATGGTGCCCGTGGGGAAATTAGAAAAAAGAAAAAGAAAAAAAAAGAGCCCCTTCCTCAGGGCATTGCTCCTGCTGCTGCACATGGCTGGGCAGACAGGCACTGGGTATTTCAGCTTCCCTGTGCCCTCAGCTCCACGCAGTGCAAAACCACAAAGTGTATGTGGCAGCCTTCACCACCAGCAGCACGATGCGTCTGCTGCCCTTTCTGCAGGGCTCCTGCCCGCCTATGCCATCCGGTCCTGTGCCCCTGTCCCAGCAGAGTCCCGCCTTGATGACCTCTGACAAACCAATTCTCAGGGCAGGAGAGGAAAATAATATTGATTAAGCACCTACTAGGTGCCAGAGGCACCCTAAAGGTCCTCTCGTGTCGGAAGTAAACCCTCGTAGCAATCCTTTCAGGTGGGTATTATTAGCCTTATTTTGTTTTTTATTATTTTTTAATATATATTTTATTGATTTTTTACAGAGAGGAAGAGAGAGGGATAGAGAGTTAGAAACATCAATGAGAGAGAATCATCAATCAGCTGCCTCTTGCACACTCCCCACTTGGGGATATGCCCGCAACCAAGGTACATGCCCTTGACCAGAATCGAACCTGGGACCCTTCAGTCCACAGGCCGACACTCTATCCATTTAGCCAAACCGGTTTCAGCATTATTAGCCTTATTTTAAATGGTCCCAGCCCTCCTGCTCTTTAACCCCGGGCCTCCGGTTCTCCCTCCGCATCCAGGGGCTGCTGCTGCTGTACGGAGCCTACCTGGCTGGCCTGACCGACCACGTCAGCTCTCCTCCTGTGAATCAGTCTTTAACCATCATGGTTGGGGTCAACCTTGTGGTGCTGGCTGCTGGGCTCCTTCTCGTGGTCACCAGATACCTGCACTCCTGGCCCAACCTGGTCTTTGGCCTCACATCCGGGGGAATCTTCGTTTGCACAACCACGGTCAACTGCTTCATCTTCATTCCCCAGGTATGTTCCAAGGAGAAGCTGGCAGGGCCGGTCCTCCAGAGCACTGGCTGGGTATGGTTACCTGCTCACTGTGTTTTCTCTCCAGGCTTCTGGGTAACATTTATTGGACAGTCAGAAGGAAGGGGGTTCCTGGTGAGCTGGCTCCTTCTGTTCTTCCCTCCTCACTCTCTCGAAGGAAGACAGTTAGGCTCCCCGTCAGCAAAGAGGGCAGCCCAGCGTGGCTGGGTGCAGCTGTCCCACATTTCCACCCCTGGCACTGACTCGCAGACCTGCTTTGCCACCCATCCTCCAGTCTGTTTCACTCCTCCTCAGTCCCTTCCTCATCTTGATAATGTCATTTTCTCCCTAGCCTGGGAGTCAGGAGCCTTTATTTTCCATTTAGGTTGCAGATTCACAGGGAAAACTCATTTGGAACTCTATGCAATTTTAAATGCTTTTCGTTTCTTTTCATTAGAGGAAACTATAAAGCATTTTTCTTCTTTTTACAATAAGGAGAAATAAAAACTCAATAAGCATGTGTTTCATATTATAGGAATTTTAAAAAAAATCAAACAAAGGAGGAAGATAGCAGCAGAAATGTTCAGACAGCAAAGGGGGAAAAAGAGGACCTGGAGGGAAAGGGAAAGGAATCATAGTCTCTGGAAGGAAGAGATATGAAATTATTCAGATTGGCCCCAAGGCTATCCCTGAGCCACACACATCTGAGTTAGTGAACTTGACATTAGGCATTTTTCCTGTTTCCCTTCTGGTTCTCTTTTTGTTCCCCCAATGCCTCCCTCATCCCACTACTCCCTCAGCACCCCTTCTGGTTCTGAATGCAGCTTCCAGTTGACTATGAATGACTTTACCATGGGACACTAACCGATAAGATCACGGATGGAGGGTCACAGGGTATTTATAAAAGGGAAGTGTAGACTTCAGGGCATGAAGGTTTGACATAGGCATTACTCATCTGCCTTTTCACAAGTTCTCATAGAAATACTCAAAAGAATAAACAAATATGGAAGTATCTGTATCAGTGGCACTAAAAATCAAGGATGAGTATTGCCTCTATGCCAGAAACTAGAGGAATTTTTGCTGAATCTTAATGTTATAAGACCTGGATTAATGGAAGCCATTGAGAGTTGTGTGTGATTGGTCTGGAATGTAGCAGAAGAGGGCTTTGGGGAAGCCCACCTTTTAGCCCTGTAGCCAGCATTGTTGATTGGTAACCCATCCACCTGTTGCCAAGCCCTTCCTTCCTTGCTCACCTCTACTATATAGTCTGAAAGAGCTAAACACTTGCTTTTTTAGCTTCTTTTATAGCTTGGGCTGCCCATGTGACACAGTTGTTGTTTTTTAATTTTTTTTTTTTTATTTCAGAGAAAGGAAGGGAGAGGGAGGAAGAAAGAGAGAGAGAGAGAGAGAGAGAGAGAGAGAGAAACATCAATGATGAGAGAAAATCAATTGCTTGCCTCCTGCACACCCTCTATTGGGGATTGAGCCTGCAACCTGGGCAATATGCCCTGACCAAGAATCAAACCATGACCTCTTGGTTTATGGGTTGATGGTCAACTACTGAGCTACATCAGCCACGCTATGTGACACAGTTTTGAAAGCTAAAAGTTTTCTGAGAGGCTTCTGAGAAAGTTTTTGCTTTGCTAAAAATGCTAGGGGTGTGGCTGGCTTTATCTCCTCTACCCTCTTTCTGTCTTGAATGTTTGTTGTGCCTGGAGCTATGGCAGGCATCTTGTGACAATGAAGGAAAGGCCAAGGAATGCATTTAATATACCAAGAAACTATAGTTCTTCCCATGTAAAACTAAATTCAGAGGGAAAGGACCTATGAAGAGATTCTGCAGTTCATAAGAAGAGATGCACACATTTGGACAAGCTATCTTCCTTTGAAGGAAAATAGAAGTTTTTAAAAGACAGCAAATTTGTTTTGTCAATAGGATTTAAAGGATATTGCCTGTCTTCAACCAAAGCAAATAATCATGAGAAGAACATAATCTTAGATCATGAAATATTAAATAAGGATGAAAAACGTTGTTAAATTCAAAACCCCAGTAGAAACACTGAATAGGCAATTGGACGTAGCGAAATACTGAATTAATGAACTATTTAATTTAAAGCCACAGAACACAAGGAGACAGTTAAAAAATGAGAGACTAGGGCCTGGCGGGTGTGGCTCAGTGGTTGAGCATCGATCTATGAACCAGGAGGTCATGGTTTGATTCTAAGTCAGGGCACATGCTCGGGTTGCAAGCTCAATCCCCAGTGGGGATGCTGTAAGGCAGCCAGTCAATGATTCTCCCTCATCATTGATGTTTCTATTTATTTATTTCTATCCCTTCCTCTCTGAAATAAATTTTAAAAATATATTTTTAAATGAGAGACTAAATCAAATATGGAGACCAAGGATACAATTTAGAGCTAATAGGAATCTCTGAAAGATAAAAAATAATTTGGGGCAGAAGTAATCACCAAGGAACTATTAGAGGAAGCCTTCCTGACCTAAATAAAACAAGACCTCTATCTGAAAATTGAGTGAATCAGCAACCTCCATGATGTGGCTCCACTTATCCCTCCTCTCTGAGTACTCGCATCTGTCCCTTGGGCATCCCAGCTCTCAGACATGAGACTTCCACCTCAGCACCTAGGACAGTAGTGATATCTAGGTACACTCCCATCTACACACATAGACATAAAAATGCAGAATGAAGTTAACCTTGAAATCTGGCTTCCAGGTTTGAATAACTACAAGCATTAGATTTGTAAAGTGAGAGTGGCAATGGAATTATTATGGGATACAGGAACAGGATGGATGGACAGTGTTGGCCTTTCTCTTGCCTTCTCTCTGTTTCCCATTTTTTCCACCTAGCTGTTTTAAAAATCATTTTCTCTTATTTTACCTTTCGTTTTCTATTTTCTCTCTCATGCCTTTCTCCTCTTGAACTGACCATGATCCAAAACTTAAATACACACACACACACACCGACACACATACTAGAAGCCTGGTGCACAAATTCCTGCACTGATGGGGCCCAGATAGCCCACCCCAATGAAGGCCGATTGGGGGCAGGCCAGCTGGTGGGAGGGGCCATACCAGTCCAGTCGTTCTGCTGTTTGGTTGATTTGCATTTTTAAAAAAATCTTTAATGTTCAAATTATTATAGTTGTCCTCTTTTTTTCACCCCATATCTCCCCTCCATCTGGTTCCTACCACACCCCACCCTATGCCCTTACCGCCCCCCCCCCACTGTCCTCATCCATAGGTATATGATTTTTGTCCAGTCTCTTCCTCCACCCCCCTTACCCCTTTTCCCCCCAAGGATTGTCAGTCCACTCCCTTTCTATACCCCTGATTCTATTAAATTCACCAGATTATTCTGTTCATCAGATTTTTTATTCACTTGATTTTTAGATTCACTTGTTGATAGATATATATTTGTTGTTCATAATTTTTATCTTTACCTTTTCTTCTTCTTCCTCTAATTAAAGAATATCTTTCAGCATTTCATATAATACTGGTTTGGCAGTGATGAACTCCTTTAGCTTTTTCTTATCTGTGAAGCTCTTTATCTTCTCCTTCAATTCTGAATGATAGCTTTGCTGGGTAGCATAATCTTGCTTGTAGGTTCTTGCTATTCATCATTTTGAATATTTCTTGCCACTTCCTTCTGGCCTGCATAGTTTCTGTTGAGAAATCAACTGACAGTCATGTGGGTGCTCCTTTGTAGGTAATTAACTGTTTTTCTCTTGCTGTTTTTAAGATTCTCTCTTTGTCTTTTGCTCTTGTCATTTTAATGATGATGTGTCTTGATGTGGTCCTCTTTGGATTCCTTTTGTTTGGGGTTCTATGTGCTTCCTGGACTTGTAAGTCTATTTCTTTCACCAGGTGGCAGAAGTTTTCTGTCATTATTTCTTCAAATAGGTTTTCAGTATCTTGCTTGTTCTCTCTCTCTTCTTCTGGCACACTCATAATTCAAATGTTGATACGCTTGAAGTTGTCCCAGAGGTTCTTTACACTATCTTCATATTTTTGGATTCTTTTTTATTTATGCTTTTACAGTTGGGTGTTTTTTGCTTCTTTGTATTTCAGATCTTTGGCTTGAATCTTGGGATCCTCTAGTCTGCTGTTGGATCTCTGTATATTATTCTTTATTTCAGTCAGTGTATGTTTAATTTCTAGTTAGTCCTTTTTCATATCCTCAAGGGTCTCACTAAATTTATGGGCCTTTTCTAGAAAATTCTTGAAAAACCTTATAACCGTGGTTTTGGACTCTATAGCCAATTGTTTGTTTTCTTCTCTTTCTTTTGTTTTTGACCTGTTTCTTTGTCTCTACATTTTGACTGCTTCCCTGAGTTTCTAGAGTGGCTTTGTGTGCTAGATGTCCTATAAGGCCCAGTGGCTCACCTCCCCAGTTAACTGAGGTGGACATTCTTGGTGCACCCCTTTGTGGGCTGTGTTTTTCAGTCTTTTTGTATCAATAGTTAAGTCTTTTTTAAAAAATATATATTTTGTTGATTTTTCACAGAGAGGAAGGGAAAGGGATAGATAGCCAGAAACACTGATGAGAGAGAATCATCGACCAGTTGCCTCTTGCGCACCCCCCACCAGGGATGTGCCCGAAACCAATGTACATGCCCTTGACAGGAATGGAACCTGGGACCTTTCAATCTGTAGACTGATGCTCTATCCACTGAGCCAAACTGGTTTCAGCTATAGTTAAGTCTTGATTGTTGTTGGTATCACTGGGAGGAATTGACCTCCAGGCCAATTGGCTGTGAGGATCAGCTGTGTCTATGATGGGGAAACTTCTGTGCTGGAGACACCCTTATGAGGCAAGACTTGCTTCAGTGGGGTATGGGTCTGCCCCTTGAGTGTGTTGCTTATAGATGTGAAGAGTTGTAATCTAGTATGGTCTCACACTGATCACTAGGTACACTGGCTCTTGGATCTCCAAGGAGATGATAATTTAGCCTCTGCCTGAAGCCACCCAGCAGGAACTACGGAGAGATCTGTAGATTTCTCTTCCTTGTTTGGGTTTTGGAAGTGCCCAGATGAGGCCCAGCTGTGCAGCAATGCAGTCTGCTGTGGGGCTTTGGGCCCTCTTTTGGATGTTCTGAGTCTCTCTGACTCAGCTGCAGTTTGATAGGTAAGTTTAGATTTCAAAGGACCAGCCTATTCATAGGCAAAAGCCTCTATGCACAGCTTAGATGAGGCGGAATCTCAGGGCGGAGTAAACAGCAATGGCTTCCCGTCAGCCCTACCTGAAGAGGCCTTCAGGTCTCAGTGTCCCTTGGTAATCGCTGCAAGCACCTCTGAGAGAAAGCAGCCCTTAAGTCCTACTCCCTGTCAGACAGTCCAGTTTCTGCCCATATGAGTCTGGGTCCCCAGAGTCTCACCCTGAACTGGAATTCAGAGCAGTCAGGAGCTTGTGTCTCCCTCCGGTTTGAAAAAGCCAACCACACATGTACTCAGTTGCCAGTCTTCTCCATGCACATGCATGTGCGTGTGCCTTCCACAGCTCCTGTGAGTATCAGTATGTGTTTCTTTTTCCTTCTAGTTGTAGAATTTCAACTCAGCCAGTCTTTCTGTGGTTCTGGATGATGTCTGTTTGTCTTTTTGTTTTGTTTTGTCTTTTAGTTGTGGTTTTGAAGTTGTTGTACAAGGCAGCAAGTTCATGTGTTTACCTATGTTGCCATCTTGGTTTCTCTGGTTGATTTGCATATTACCCTTTTATTATATAGGAGATATAGATATAAGATATAGATATAGATATAGATAGTCCATTATATTTTAGGTTTAAGAAGTAAATTCTTTTTTTTTTTTTTTTTTTATCTAAAAGTAACTAGAAAGTTTGTCTGTTTTTTTGTGCACCCTTTAATTGACTTTGCCCTCTGGCTCAGTGGCCTTTGGTAGAAGAAAGTCTCTCTGTGAGAGCCGCACTGTGCATTCCCAGGAGAGAAAAACAGCTGAACAAAGTTGGAAAAGTATCTGAGGAGAGCTACATGGGGAAAGAAGAGAGCAAGAAGAGGGCACTTCCTCCTGCCACTGAGCCTTCAGATTGGACAGCGTGGGAGGGGTTTATGAAAATAAAGGCACAGATACCTCAAGGGCAGTTAGGTGGCTCCAGAGAGCTGAGTGAAATGGCACAAGTGGACCAAGTAGCATTCTACACAGGTCCTTAGGAAATGCCTGAGTGTTTTTGCCAGACACTGAGGTCATCACCAGCCAGGAACAAGCCTCTGCTTTTATTGATGGTATCCTGCATGTGAGCCATATCTACACACATCTTCTCCTTCCCTTCCTCTACCTTTGAGAGAAAGATAGGTCCTGAGATAGGACATTGGTTTCTCCTCCAATCCCCCAAAGTGTTTCATCTGCTCCTCCATGTAAGTACTTAGTACTTCCTACTCTGCCTTAGAGTTATCTGCGTATGTCTCAGTGCCCCTACTAGATAGGTGAGGGTTTTTTGTTTTTGTTTTTTAAAAGGAAAACTACTTGTTCATTTATTCATCCATACATTTATTAACTGCTGGGAACATGCAGTTCCACACATGCCCCCATCTCTGAGTGTAGCTGGGAGTAGACATGAAAGGAATTATAATGCATGTTTTAAGTGTGTGGGGAAGGCAAGTTACAGGAGGCTGAGGAAGGGGTGCCCCAGCCTGTCTAGGAACTCCATAACACCTTCTCAGAAAATGGGCCCGGTCTTGAAGGATAAGCAAGATTGGGGAAGGGAAGTGGGTAGCATTCAGATGGGGAAATAGCATGACAAGAAGTAGAGAGGTAGGGGAGAGAACAGGCTATGTTTGGAGCACCACAAGTCTGCACTTTTTGAAGCACACATCAAAGGAAAGGGAGAGGAAGAGGGGCAGAAGGTTAAGAGGTGAAGTCCTCCAGGTCCTCATGTATCCTGTTAAAGACTGGAGATTGAAGCTCACTGTATTAGTTTCCTGTGGCTGCCGTAACAAATTAACACAGATTGAGTGACTTAATTCCGATGTATTGTCTTATAGTTCTGGCAGTCATAAATCTGAAATGGGTCTTATTTACTTGGCTACAATCAAGATGTCAGTAGGTCTGCATCCCTTCTGGAGGCTCCTGAGGAGAATCTGCTCCCATGCTTTTTCAGCTGCTAGAGGCCACCTGCATTCTGTGACTCCTGCCTCTTCCTCCATCTTTAGAGCCAGCAGTGTGACATTTTCAAATCTCTCTCTTTCTGACCTCCATTTCCATGGTCACTTCTCTTTTTCTGACTCTGACCTTCCTGCCTCCCTTTCATAAGGATTTGTGATTACATTGGGCCCATTATACAATCCAGAATAATCTCCCCATCTCACATACTTAACTTGAGCACATTTACAGAATCCTTTTTGCCACATAAGACAACTTATTCACAAGTTCCAGGGCTTGGGGGCTGGGTGGGGGGCAGGTGGGGAGGAGGAACGCCTATGGGGGTGGGGGACATTGTTTATCCTACCACACCCACATAGCTCAGAGGCTGAAAAAAAAACAGGAAATGCCTGTCCTTCTGGAAGAAGGATCCCAGAGAAGTCCTGAAATTGTGCCCTGAGGTCATTTATTGCCATATTTCGGAAATTCCAACTGGTCAAATCTAAAGGATCGGGATCCTCACAGACACGGACCTAAGGCAGCAGAAGCTTTCATCGGGTGGCACCCGTGCTCCACCTGATCAGGTTGGGGTGAAACAGACCCAAAGCCCTGGATGTGCCCTTACACCAATACTGAGCAGTTCCTCCAGAGAGGGCTGGGCTGGGTGCTGGGGCGAGAGAGGAGAAGCTCTACTGCTGAGGAACTGAGGAGCCCAAAAGGGAGCCCAGATACTGCAACACTGCTAGGTCAGTACTAGGAGAACAACACTGGTGTCTGCTCCATCCACTCAGGACCAAATAGTGACCCTATGGGGCCAGGCTCCAGTAACTCCCGAGTAGGGCGGGGAGCTGATCGCACCCGAGGCCTTTGAGAAGGACATCGACGGGAAGGTTCCTGGCCTGACCCCGTACAGATCACACAGACTTTTGATAGCATGAGGAACATGCATTTCAACACAGGCTGAGTACACACAGGATGTGGTATTGAAATAGATGGAAAGATTTAGGATCTGAGCTTTACCAAATTGAGGTTAGGACAAAGAAGTCCCAGGATTCCTGTAAAGCTCCCACAGCCACCAGCATCGTTTATAAGGTGCCACAGTGCCCAGGGTACAGCACTAGGACTCTCAGTGCTGGGATTTCCTACAGGAAAAATAGACGCTTCCGTCTCTGTGGCCTCCCCTGGCATGTGCCAGGCAGAGACAGTGTCCCAAAGGCTCAGGAGAATGGCCCCCACCCGTTGGTGAATGTTCTGTATTCAGCCCCACCCCTTTTAAGGTAAACTAGCCCATGCTCCCACAGATTATTTCTGAGAAACAATTTCTCCAAAAAAACTTTCCTTAGGACCCCACAGTTAACAGTCTCTGTCTTCTCGGCTGTGTTGAGGTCATGTGGGGTGGCACAGTGACTCTGTTATAGCTCTGGCTCAACTGCTAACCCCCTACAAGGGCCTAGAGCAGTCATACTCCTTCTGAGTCTCCCCTCATTTGTCTAGGAAGAAAAGATGGTCAGGTCTCAGACCTAATGTTCTGTCTTTTTTTTATTGCTATTTAATGCCATTTGTGGTTTCCTATCTGAGCTTTGATTATTGACTTGGGTTAGGAGTACTCCAGCAAGGAACTGGGTTTGCAGTCGCTGTGCGCACACCATTACCCAACAAATGAGGATAATTAAGAACAGCTACATATAACTGGAAACAGGTTCCCTTGAAACATACAGAGTTTATATTGCTTAACCCTGTGATAGCTCATAAACTCTGGCTTTAGAATACGGCCCTGGGAGTATACTTCAATCTGTTTTCTTTGAGCAGTTCAGCAATGGTTGGGTCAAGCTAAGATGGTTCTATCTCATCTATCTATCATCTTCCTTTGGCATTTTGAAAACTATGTTGCCTTACCATTCTCTGTGCCTTCTGTCATTTCCGTCCATTAGCTCTCCAGAGCACACTACATTCTGAGGAGAGAATAGTTTGTGCATTAGTGTGTCCCCGTCATTCCTTGGTGTTTTGGAGAACTTGTGAGAGAATGTGTTCCTGGGTGTGTAATTAAATAAATAGCATATGCTCTGTTATTTAACAGCTGAAGCAATGGAAGGCATTTGAAGAGGAAAACCAAACAATCAGATGCATGGCCAAATATTTCAGCACTCCCAGCAAAAGCTGCCATGCCCAGTATGGTGAGGAACAGAATTGCCATGCCAGAGGAGAGAAAACCTCCATGGAAAGACTCCTCACAGAAGTAAGCGAGACCCGCGCCTGGTAGAGTCTCTATAAAGAACTCCAGTCACACACCGGTGGGCCCCTGATGTCCTATTGCTAATGTTCTCTCTTCTCCTCCCATTCCCCCACTTCCGTGGGCAGTGGGCAAAACCTTGACATTTCCCCAGTGACTCTCCCACTGCTGATCTTCACCCACTTATTTATTCATTGCACAGTTGTGTGCTGGGCATCGTGGTAAGTGCTGATGAATGAAACAAATATAGTCCCTACTCTCAGGGAGCTCACAGTCTAATGGAGGAAATAGATATTGATCAAGAGAATAATGAAGGGACAAATCAGGGTGGTAAGGCAGAATTATGGATGGTCAGGGCTAGGGAACCTAATTTAGAGCTGTCAGACAAGACTCTGTGAGCCGACAGATGAAGTTTTAATACAAACTGGCCAGAAAAGATTATGGGGAAAAGCATTCCAAGCAGGGGAACAGCATTGGAAAGGCCCTGAGGTGTAGTGGATGCTAGCTTCTTCTGTATGATACATTCTTTCCTTTCATAGAGCAGTGCCCTCATTTATAAATCTTATAGGGCCCCTTACTGTATTTCCAGGTTCTAACTAGAGATCTCAATCATCTCACTACCCCAGAGAGGCAACCTATACTAATAAAATGGTAATATACAAATTGATCAGAATGCCCTCACAGTAACAACCGAATAGCAGGCTGTAAGGGGCGACCAGGCTGGCAGGGAGGGCAGTTTGCAGCAACCAGGCCAGCAGCGAGGAGACAATGAGGGGCAACCAGGCCGGCAGAGGGGGGCAGTGAGGGGCAACCAGGCAGGCAGGCAGGTGAGCAGTTAGGAGCCAGTGGTCTTGAGTTGTGAGAGGGATCCCAGATTGGAAAGGATGTAGGCTGGGCTAAGGGGAACCCCCCTCCCCATGCATGAATTTCATGCACCAGGCCTCTAGTAAGTACAATAAGGGTCTAAACATGGGGAGGAGGGCTAAATAGGGCCTCTGAATACCATAGTAGCACCACTCCTACTTCTGTACTTGAGCCAGAGTTGGCACCTCTCCCAGAACTGGGCACTGGGGTGTGGGCTTGCAGAAAGCACATGGAGAAGCAGGAGGCTGCACTGCCTCAGAAAGAAGGCACGGGGCTCAGACGAATTAGCCAATATTTTCACACTAACTACATTAGATTCCATGTTTTCTTCAGTACAGAACAGACCAAAGTAGGTGTTATTTGGGAAACTATGTTTTTCTGTAATTGGACTGACATGTGGTTATCAGGTGGATCTTCAGCTCTGGGAAGGGTCTCCCTGCTGGCTTCCTGGCCTCACGGAGTTAGGAGGAAGCCACCAACTGCTGACAACTAAGAGGACGGTGAGGTGGGAACCTAAGAAAAACAGGCCCGTGAGGGGGTGAACCTTCCCTGCACCCCCTGTCGGTGCCCCTCTGATCTCCCACACCATACCCTCAGTCTGGACCTTTTTTAAAAAAAATCAGAATAATACTCCTCTATTTCTGTACTATTTATAAAGCATTCAGGACTCATTTCCAAGGCAGATTTCTTCCCACCTGGCAAGGGAGTAACATTGCCTTTGATACTCTGTGAAGTCTTCAAAGAATTTTTTTTTTTTTTTTTTTTTAGCTCAACAGAAGGCCAGAAACTTGGTGAGAACAGTCAGGATGGTTTTCATTCACAATCAGCTAATGTTGGAACAGCCAAGTGGCCTGACTCTTTAGCCTTATGGTAATTTATGGCGTGCTGTTTGTACTTCTGCCACACTGACTATGCTGTTTCCCACGCAGTGACTGTATCTGCTCTCTCCAAAAAAGATGCCTCGGGTCTGCAGAGGAAGGGCCCTAATGGGGAGCAGATGCACAGGCATAAAAAGCTGGCCTCTCCACAACACCCCACACCTGGTGCATCTCTCCCAGAAAGGGCCTGGGAACCAGCCGCTGCCCCCCTGGCGCCGGAGCAGCCTAGAGAGGTCCCCAGCACCCAAACCCCGGCTCGGGCATTGCCTGGTGGGCAAACACGGCATCTTTCCTGCCTCGTCTTGTGCACAAACCCTGACTCCAGCTTCCCTCCAAAGCAGTCCCTCTGCCACCCTTACTTTGTCCTCCTCTTACTTTCCCACGGCCTGGGAAGTCCACCTTCTCATTCTTGCCCCCCTTGCCGCTATGGTCAAGTGCCCCAGGGCCTGTCTTCCTGGGCTGTGTGGAAGCCAGCAGGGAGACCCTTCCCAGAGCTGAAGATCACCCTTCCACACTCGGCAGCAGAGGAAACCCAACTATTGTTTTTCTTCCCCGAGCCATAACAAGCAGAGGGTGATCCCATTTCTCCTTATAGCCTGTACCTTGTAAAACACACCTGTGGGTGTTTTGCTTCCCCAGATGTGCCCAAAGTAATCATCAATAAGCTCATTTAAATGCAGCTGCCTTTAAATGTAGGTCAGATTTTGGTCTCACACTGGCAGTGACTCACACCCCACCTCTAATTAGTATGCAGCCATGGCGAAAACAGAGTTCCACTTTTTTTTTTTTTTTTCTCTGAAAGGAGAGAAATTTACTGTTCACCCTGACATTTCTCTAACCATCCCCGGCCAATGTCAGATGTTTGGTCTGCAGGGAGAAGAGTATTCTTCCCAACTCGGCATTTATCCCTATTTTTCTACACTCAAAGAAACTTGTGGCTCAGGCACAAAAGGACAGCGTTCAGAGTGTACTTGCCGGGTTAGTTGTCAGCATTTGGTGGCTTCCTCCTAACTCCATGAGGCCGTCCAGGCCCCCTGAAGCCAGCCTGAACCCTCCTTCATGAGGAGGGGCTGCTGAGGAGGAAGAGGGGAGGGGTCCCTCCTGGGCAACCAGCACAGTGACCACTGTGAGATGCTCCAGAGCTATCTGGCACCACCCAGGGATCGTGAAGAACCTGAATGACTGTCTTCCGGTTACTCATTCACTCTGCTCCCAGTGAGTCCCGCGTCATCCGCACCTCCCCCGCAACGCCCCTACCTCACCACTCTGGGGCGTGAAAGGGGAGAAGAGGCAGGCAGGTGCTCAGCTGCCAGTCCCTTCTGCTTATTCAGCGGTTACTCACTGGTCTGGGACTCTCCTGGTGATAAAAGAAGTAGACTAAACCAGGATGTAACTGGGGATCCCGGAATCAGAGAAATCACCTTCTTGCCTATAAATAGGGAGCAGTGATCTGCCTTGGAGTTGCTGCCAGAGACTATTGCTAGACTAGTTTACTGCTTTCTGAAAGGGTCATTTCTTGGCAAGTCTCCCATCTCAACGTGAGAAGGCACCACAGGTTTGGTCCATGGGTGACTTGTGGCAGGTATCCTAAAGAAGGGAAACGACGTTTTATTTTGAGGGCATAGTCAGTGTATGTCCAAATGCTCATCCTCAGCTTTTTGAAGGTGATGGCAACAGAGAAGCAGCATTGGGGTATTCAGACAGATAGTTCCTAAAACACAATGCTTGTGTTATTACCTTCCCCATACACTTGACCTGGGTTGTCTGCCCCAAGACCATCAGTTTCCCAGGATGATCTCCTCTCACCTCCACTGCCTTTGATCCTTAGAAATTTCAGGAGGGCATAAGGTGTGAGTTAGAGAGGCAGCTGCTATTTATCACTAGAGGATGCTCAGGGCACACCCACCATCAGTATTCTTCCTCCTACGTCATGACCACGATCCCAGTCAGTACGGACACATCTCTGCAGCTTGCACGTGCCAAGCCTCCCTGGGCACTGCCTGTTTACCAGCTAAAAGCTATGCAGCAGGTAGGCAGTTCAACAGCAGAACTTCCCCGGCCTCATTCATCTTCTGGGCTCCATTCTAGATCTACTGAATCAAGTGTCAGAGACTTAGGCCTACCAATCCTACTAAAAAAAATAATAAAAAATAAAATAAAAATAGCAAAGCTTCTCCAATGATTCTGATGCCTGCACTACCTTAAGAGCTACCAGTAACTGGCTGTGCCACCTGGAAGCTTTCACCAGCCACTCCGAGGTCCAGCCAATCTGAGATTCTCACTGGCCCCTCCTGGCTCCAGTCTTATCTCTTTGGCCCAGACATCTCCACCCTTCTTCTGGTTTTCCGTTTTCTAGTCTGTTTGGCAAGAGCCAAAATACTTGTGTCCCCTTTCAGTCATCCTTTTGGGATGTGCCTCAAATTCGCCTGCATTTTGCAAAGGTGTCATAAACCCAGAGCTGGGCCATTATTCAGACTTGTGCCCTGCAGAGCGGCCTGACCCTCTCCGTTCTGAGGAGGGTGTGCACCACCAGCACGCAGCAAGCTGTGTCTCCTCCAACCTCCCCTCTCACAGGCAATGCCACTGAGCGGGGACGTTAGGGGAGATTAAGATCCTACACAATAAATCGTGGTTAACCTTTATTGAGCACCGGGTGTCAGCTATGGTACCCAGCACTGTGTGTGGGTCACATTTTTTTTTTTCATTTTGTGGAGGTGCCTTCCCTGAGCCTGAGATCACCAGCTAATACCCAGAGGACCTGGGATTTAAACCAATGTGTTCTGGTGCTGCACTTCCTCTGCCCTGGGAGACAGCCTGGAAACCCTCATCGGCATCTTTTGTTGATGGTTTTGCTTTTGCCTTTCAGAAAAATGCTGTGATTGAAAGCCTGCAGGAACAAGTAAACAACGCCAAAGAGAAGCTGGTGAGGCTGATGTCTGCGGAGTGTACTTATGACCCACCGGAGTGTGCTGTCCTCCCTACCTTTTCCCATAGCAAGGAGGGTCTGGCTGCAGCCCCTGCTCACGGCCTGGCCACTCAGCGGCATCCGGAATGCCTCTCTGACTCTCCGGATGCTACCAGTGCGGCGGCCCAGGACTCGCAGAGCACCTCAGTGCCCTCCTCCAGTGCACAGAGCCTCGAGGGGCCTGGGAAGGATGCTGGCTCCTCCCCGGGGCGGAAGGAGAGGCCTGACTTGAGAGACTTTTCTGATCATTTAAATTTGGGCTGCAGCCAGAAGCAGCAGGCTGAGCCAATCCAGGGTGCAGAACAGAGAGACCAGGGACCTACAGTCCCCCGTGGGGGTCTCATACCAGGTGAAGAAGACTCTGTTCCCGAGAGACAGGGGCAGCGGGAGACCTCAGGGGAGCCCCAGAAGCAGTCAAGGGTCAATTCCGTAATCAGGGAGAAGCTTCAGGAAGTCCTCCAGGATCTGGGCCTGGGCTCTGAGGCTCCCGTCCCCGCTTCCCAGTCTTGTCCCCAGCAGCCCCGGAAGAGCAGCGCTGCCCGCGGCCCCCAGAAGATGCCCCTCTCCGGGGAGCTGGGCTTCAGCCCGCACATGGTGAGGAGAAGGCGGGCAGCCCAGCGGGCTCGCTCACACCTTCTGCGCTCTGTGCCCTCCCATGCGGGGCATCGGGCAAACAGGATGGTATCTGGCACAAAAAGTGGGTTAAATGTGCGGAACCGAGACAGCCTCTGCTTGGACCCTCAAACTGCTGATTCCAGGGTACCCTCTTCCAAGAAGCTTTCAACATTCTCAGATCCTCAAGGCCAGCCAGGCATCTCGGAGGACAGCAAACAGTGCCCGGCAGAGCCCCAAGGAGCTGGGAACAGCTGCGCAGTCCTTCCTCACCGGCCTTCTGGTCCTGGCCGGGCGCAGTGCCCCGCCAGCCCACGCCTGTCACCACACCTGCCCGAGCAGCGCCCGCTGCATTCCCTGCGGTCCGCGGGCTGTCTCTCCCTCTCTTCTCCACGCAGCTACCTTGACACCGAGTCCAGCAGCTCGGACGAGTTCTTCTGCCACTGCCACCGGCCCTACTGTGAAATCTGCTTCCAGAGTTCCTCTGATTCCAGTGACAGTGGCTCTTCAGACTCTGACCCTGAGCACGCTGCGGGGCTGGCTTCCTGGGAAAAGCTGTGGGCCCGCTCAAAGCCTATCGTGAACTTCAAAGATGACTTGAAACCCACACTGGTGTGAAACGCAGCACAGCAGCCTGGATAGAGCAGTCAGTCCAGGACAAGCTGTTCCAAGGCCTACAGGGGGAAGGCTGGTTCTGGCTCCGGGGAACACACCAGAACCCTACATTTGACCAGCCCTTACCATGCTTCAGCTATGCTCACTTGAGTCCTGTCACCTTGAGCACCTCTTGGGTTTTGCCTGTCTTGTTACTACCTCACAGCATTCCTGTAAAAGACTTCTGTTGAGTGACCACAAGAGATACTCTTTGGAAAAAGGTGCTAAATGAGCACAGAAGCTTGCCTGTCCCGGTCAGCCTGTATCGACAAAACTCTTCATATATACCCCATGGCTGGCTAGGGGACAGACAGATGGAGAGATGGAGGAACTGTTCTGCAGAACCAGAGTGGTGGACTATGACCCATCAAACTGGCCTTAAGATGAGTTTCCTACATCCTCGGGTGTCCCGTTCTTGGCAGGGGGTGCGACTTTGTTTCCGCTGAAGGTTATGAGCAGCACCACCCCTGGGTTCCAGCTTCTGGTCAGATTCATCTCTCAGCCACCTCTACAGCACTGTTTGTTCATGATTTCCCACCATTATGGCACCTCAGCATCATCCCTGAGATAGTCAGGTCTCCATGTGGCCGCAGGCTACCCAGGTCTCTCTCCTGGGCTTGGATGGCACCTGATGCCCAGACTGTCCACTGGTCCTGTGGGCCATCCCTTCGACACTGCCCCTGGCGCCATTTTGGACTGAGGGGAAGCACACAATCTCTATTGGTCAAGGGGTGCGCTTGGTGCCAGTGGGGTTACATGGCCACCAATGGATACATGAACCTAGAAATAAAAAACATGGAAGTAGAAAGGAAGAAATGGGGGAGAAGAGGTAGGAAAGAGAACATGTTTTAAAATTTTACCTTGAGTCTGGCACAGAACATGGCAGCATCATAGTTCAGTAATTCCTTACGATAACCCTGGGAAGTAGACACTCTCATTCCCATTTTTACAGATGTGGCGTGTGAGGCTCCGGGAACTGAGGTGACTTTTACAACTTCACGCTGCAGGAGAGTGGTTCACGTAGGACTTGCCCCCAGCCCAGGGGACGCCAAGTGGGTAGATTCTCCTGGGGGCACATCTCTTGACTCATTCTTCTGGGAATGGCAAGCAAGCCAGACAATAAAGCAAGGGGGCTGTAGGAAAGTGAGATGTGCTCACCCTGGAGTCCAGGACACCAGCCCCAAGATAACAAACTTAGGGAAGCAGCCCTCACTGCCTCAGGGGCCCACTGCACCTCCCAAGGGAGCCAGGAAGTTGGTGAAAGATGAGTGCCAGGAACTCATCTGCTGCCAGACCCAGGGGGAGAGCACAGATGGGTCCACTTTGCTTGTTGCTAATCTGGGTGTGGTTTAGAGGCCGCCCTCTGCCCCCATCTGTGTGTGCGCACATGTTCCTGTGCAGGAGTCTGAGCCTCATTAGATATGCCTGGGGGGAGTTGGGCTCTGAATGTCTCACAGAACTTTTACCATGGACTCACAGGGGCTGCCAATGCTCACGAATCTCCAGACACTGGATTGGAAGGCCCTCCTCATAACACAGCTTCTTCTGTTGTCTACTTTTGCATACAAATCTCATAATTTATTCTGTGTGTGGGTTTGTAGTGTCTTTTTGTGCAATCCAAGTGATACCTTAATAAAAGAGAAGCAACTCCCAAGGCAAGTCTCTTCAGAAATTGTGGTTTCGGGCTGAGGAGTAGAAGCACAGAGAGTGGACACACTACCACCAGAGTTACGTTGGGTTGCCCTGGGTTCCAGGGGCATCTTTAGCCAAATCTCATTTGTAATCGAAACAACTGCCCTGGTGAATAGGGGAAACTGTGGAGACACTGGACTCTTCCCACCCACAGGGGTCCTGTGGTTGGCCTTCACCTCCCTCAGCTCCTCCCCTCCCAGCATGTCACCACTAGCAGTCCGCTGTTCATGACTGTGGAATATGCAGGCCCTATACCTGGCCATCCTTCTACCCATCTCATTCTCTCTGCTCTATATTCTCAGGACCACTACTCCAGTCCTTCTTCATCTCCATTCCTCTTCTATCTAGAAATTCTTTTTGCACACATTGTGAATTACTCATCCTTCAAGGCTCAGGTACAGCATGTGTTCTCTCTTGAGCCTTTCCTGACCACCCCAAAATAAAATTAACTGACCCCATAGTTAAATGATAATAATAATTTTAAAAAATATGTTTGGGGACCTGTGTTTCAAACTCAGTTATATAGAGGCTTCTATTATCCATTTTGCCTGGGATGACTTTGTAACCCTGGCTAGACTTGGTTAGAAAGATGGAGAATATAGCCCCAATTTTTCCTATCATTTGGTTCAAAAACTATGTGCCAAACACCACAATTGCCTGACCAGTCCATTATACTGTTTCCAGTCCATTATTTACTTTTGCACCACCCTCCCCCCAACTCCTCTTTCCCTAGATTTAGCTCTTTCCCTAAATTTTTTTACCCAAGAACAGCTAATCCAGTGATGAAATTTTCTAAGGGAGGAGTATGCAGTGGCTTTTGGCAAGCTCTTGATTGTTATGCTCTTGAGGAAAGGGCTGTAACTTGTACAAAGGAACCATGGGGAAGTAAACATTGCCTTTGCTACTGTCATCTGTGTTGTACATGTCTCCGCTGGCCCTAAGGTCTTGCATGGAGCCAGTCATGATTGTGACCCAAGCATATATTGCCCTGCTGATTGAAATCTTTGGGTTGGAGGTATCCAGCCTGAATCCAAAGTGGGTCCCAGCTCCTGGCCTTGAAGGATAAACTTGGCCTTCCTGGAGCTCATAGAAGAAGGAAGGGAAAGTGTCAGATATAGAAGGCATGCTTTTAAAGAACCATATTCTAAAATGGCAAAAAGAAGAGTCAGTTCAAGTTCTACAAAGTCTTTTCTATGTCTTTATTTATTTTGTTATATTTAAATGTGTCGTCACAGATTTCAAATTTCTGAAAGCATAGAGTATGTCTTCTGCATTTTTGTGTACACTAGAGTAGACATCAGGAAACTTTGCACAAAGGATAAGCCTAATAAGTGTTTGATGGATGGATTTCTGAGCAGATAAATGGATGAAACAAAGGCAGACAAAGAACCTGTTCTGGGGCTAACAAAGCAGCCGAAAGAGAGCCAGAATCATCCAGTTTCACTGCTTGCCAATGAGTTAAGAGCAAGAAACAATATTACCCAGAAGTAACTGAATTCTGAAAATGACAGTGCTTTAAATATCATAGGGAGAAGCAGGTTAGAGTGGAGTAAATGGAAGAGAAGCAAGAAAGTTATTGTGGTAAAGATTTTCTCTTAAAGATGGTTTCTTCACAGGCTTGTGACTAATAAGCATTATCGGCAGGAGGACATCTTTACTACCATCACCTTTCTGAGTCCCCTTTCTTTCTTTTTTTCTTTTTCTTTTTTTAATATATTTTATTAATTTTGTACAGAGAAGAAGGGAGATGGTTAGAAACATTGATGAGAGTCATCCATCAGCTGCTTCTTGCACACCCCCTACTGGGGATATGCCCGCAACCAAGGTACATGCCCTTGACCGGAATCGAACCCGGGACCCTTCAGTCCCCAAGCCAACGCTCTATCCATGGAGCCAAACCGGTCTCGGCATGAGTCCCCTTTCTTGAAGCCCAAACAAAGCAGTTCCTCCTAGTAGCACCATCTGGGCTTTGTTATGAAGGTCTAATGCACAGATGGCATTTATGGGGCTCGAGGCAGGAAAGAGGCTACTGTTGTCCTCAGACTTCGCTCTGCCTCACCTCTGATATGTACTCTGATCTCTCTCTCTCTCTCTCTCTCTCTCTCTCTCTCTCTCTCTCTCTCTCTCTCTCTCTCTCTCTCTCTCAAAATGTTCCTGATCTTAGCACCCTCAGCCAAACTGCATCTGAACAAGGGAACATCTTGGGATGTTCACTTCACTATTGAGTCACAAGAGACAGGAAATGCCTGTATTGTGGGAGAAATAATCTGATATGAGATTAACAAGATCTCTGTCAATGTTTCCCAACTCTTTTCATTCTTTGACTTGCCTTTGGATGTTTCAATACACTAGCAAGATGCCTAGGCTCAGAGAATAAGTTATAACCAGAACGGTGAGCCAAGGTGTTTTTCCCAGGGTCTTGTCTCACGATGCCAAAGAATGTGCTCCGTGGACCAGAAGATTCAAGCAAAGTATGAAAACTTTATCACAAGCAGGTTCAGACTCCACGCAAGAGGAGGGGACCCAAGGATGGGCTGCCCGTTCAAGCCTTGTAGTCCAGGGGTGTATATTTGCTACAAGCTTGTTCTAGGTCTATCTGTGTCGTCACCTGATTGATTCCCTCAATTGTTTTTGCCCAGCAACGAACCTAAACTTTCCCTCTTCCTGTGTGTTCTTTCTCTGTTCTACTTGGGAAAGGCCCTGGAAAGATCTTCAGGTGACTAAGAGAAAGGCAAAAGGACAGGTAAAAAAAGAGAAGGAAGACAAGAAGTCCAAAGAGCAGAGAGAAATTAGAGAGATGAAGGAGGAGATAAAGAAAAGCATCCTGCTTAACTCTGTCAGTGGGCAGATTGTGGCAACTATTCTTCTGTAAATGAGTCGGCTCTGGTTTTATTTTAGAGAAATGAGGATCATTTTATCCTTGCAGAGCTCTTTCTTCAGTATGTATGTGACTGTTGGTTAATTTCTTGACTTTCCCCACTCAACTGTAAGCTTCTTGAGCCCAAGTGTCATGATTTCTTTGGTGTCTCCAGCACTGTGCCTGGCCCATGGTTGATGTTCAGCAGATGTCTGTCAAAGACATAAACCAGAAAAAGAAGTGTGGCCTACTAGAATTATCTCAAGAGGGACCTCAAGAGGCAACTCATAATAGTAGAAGTCACTTGGGAGGCAGGGTTTATCATAAAGAGCAGTGTTGTTGATCCATCTACGTTTAAACCCTTTGTGATACTACCTAAAGGCTTTGTCAAAAGAAGGCATTTTAGATGGGCTCTCTTCTCCACTCATTTTTGTACAATCATTTTCTACCCCCACTGAAATGCCTGGGCTTGCAGTCACCCCCGTGTCTGGGTGCCTTTCAGCACGTTACATAACCTTTTTGTGGCTTAGTTTTCCCAGCTGTAAACTGGGACAGTAACACCTACCTATTTCAGAAGGTTGTTATGAGGATTCAATGAATTACTATTTGTAAAATGCTATGAGCTATGTCTGGCATCCAGTAAACATGATGTCAGTATTTGTCTTAGGAAGTTATTTGGGAAACATAGATTTATATTTAGAAATCCTCTTTAAGTTTTCTTGCTTTATACCAAAATCCACCTTTTTTGTTTTCAATGTATTCTTTTTTTCTATGTTAATGAATCTTTATTTTCTTTGCTTAATCCCTTCATCCATCTCAACCCTCCCCCAACGCCCTCCCCTCTGACAGCTCAGTCTGAGGAAAGGGTCTTCTAAATAGACCTGGAAAAATGAGGATTGTTTCAATCCAATTCTTAGGCAACAGAATTTTCTCCCTGAACCCCAAGGTCAAGTTCATTTACTGCAGGAGCACCCCCACCTGCAGGACTCAAATGTTAGGGCTGGCCTAGAGGGAAAGGGCAGTTGGGGAATCAGGAAATCTTATTTTTTTTAGAGAGGAGCCAAGAGACATAATTAATTTCCTTTGTATAATAGAACCATTATATACTTGGTAATAGAAAAAAAAAATACATGAGATAAATACTACGTGTCACTTAATACTTATCTCATTTAATACTTATAGCCACCCCACAACGTGGTGGTTATTTCATTTTTACAGATGAAACTGTAGCAAGGAGAGGTTAGGTAACTTGCCTGAGATCATACAATTGGTTTACAGATAGACCCATAGTTTGAACTGAAAATCTGACTTGATTCCAAAGCCTTTTTGAGACTCCCCAATGCTGGTTCCAGAGCATGTGCTACAGGCGTGCTACCAGAAGACAGAAAGAATTTCAACCCGGCAGGGCAGGGGCCCAGGCTGAGGTTTTCTTAGGACACCAAGGTTTTCTTGGGAAAAGCAAGCTGGTCTGGTTCTGTAAACCTATTGCAAAACCCTCCACTGCTGAGTCATTGACCAGCTTCCTAGAGGCAGAAAGGGAGCATTCTAAAGCTACCTGGTCACTCCCACCCTCATCAGGAAGTTCAATGCCAAATACATGTGATACTGAAAACAAGCAAGTCCCTTGTTTAAAAAGACCATGGTCAGCCCCCCAAGCTGGAAGTCACACACACACCGTCCAGGTATTGTGCCCTTTAAATGGCACAAAAACATGAAACTGGGTGAGGATTGCAGGAGATCCCATCAGGAGTGAAAACAGATCTGCTGCTGAGATCAGGGATGGGCCATAGAATCTCTTCAACTCAAGTTGAAAGCCCTTCATTGCTCCCACTTCCTGCAGGATGAAGTCTCACTATGGTTTGGGGTTTGAGGCCATCCAATTTGGAACTCTATCCTCCCCCAATCTCAACTTGCCTAAAACTCTTCACCTTGCTGCTGCCAAATGAATTTACTGTCTGTTACTCATTTGCTACTGTCCACCTCAGGGCTAGGGAGGAACAAACTTTCCTCTACCTTCAAGGTTCTTTGGCTGGTCTAATAATCAAATAGACACGAGACAAATTAGCAAGAGTAAATAACCAAAATTAATACAAAAATATGCATGGGAACCCCACATACATGAGAGAGCCAGAGACTCCACATGCAGGAGAGCTTCAGAGACAGGAAGGGGGATAGAGGTATATAACACATCCTGAGCTAGGGATGAGGTAACACACCTTGGAGGCTTCGAAGGGTCATTGCAGGATGACAAGAGCAGACATTTAGTGAAGAGGAGTTTACCCTGCTCTATGGACAGGTCAAAAGAAGGTATCTCTGATAATAACTTTTTATGAGCAAGGCCACTAATTCAAGTTCTTCTGGGTAGTTAAAAAGAGAGAAGTTTCCCCAGCCTGCAGTTAATGTTGCCTTTAGTTCTAAGTAATCTGCATACCACTGAGGCACATCTTGGGGTGGCTTATTCTGCAGCCCCACAGGTTCTACACCTTTGCTCACACCAGCCCCTCACCCACATTCTAATCGCCTCAGCCTGGTGTGACCTTTCTTCTGACCATTGCCAACTGGCCTCAGAATTTATTGGGCCATCGATCATATACTCCTGAAAGGCCCCTGTCTTGATTGCTCTATAAATCCTTTATTGTTCACTTTTCACGTGTTCATTTTGTTGCTGTTGTTTTTGCTTTTTCTTGCCTCTCCAACTATTATAGATGGTCAGTGATGGGAGAACAAAAGCCATGTTTATAATCCCGTTTTCACAATATTTTACCCAGTGCTTACTGCCTTGTAGATCTTAATCAAGATTTCCAGGTTTATTTTGAAGGCTGGCCAAGTCTCTCTTTGCTTCTACCTTTCTGTTTGTACCAAAAGTATCGTGAGTACATAAAAAGGAATGTGGCAGTACTTTTCTTTCAGGCTGGACTTGAAGTTTAGCATTTCAGAGGTTCTCAGCTGACTCACTGGTTGAGAGTCCTCTATATGCCAAGCATTATGATAGGGCTCTGCAGGTAATTAGTAGAAATTAAGCTAACAGGATCCAAAAAGTAAGTCCTGGAAACTCTGAATCCAATTTCCCCAACCTCCTCAGAACAAACAAACAAATAAAAACCAGCAACATCAAAACTTGCTTCTCTGGATGGTTCCTGACTACAAACCCCTACAGGAAGCTGAAAGTCCC